AGATGGTGATATTTTGTGGCGAGCTTCGTGGAATGTATCTTCTGATATACTTTACCGATGTGGAGAGCGAGATTGGGTTCCTTTTCCAGGTATATGGGGTTCTGTTGGGTATGCACCGCTACTAGTTTCCAGACAATATGGGTCAAGGTAGTTCATTACAGCCACATGGGACTTGGTAGGGTCAGATTTTGCATTCAGAGGAGATCAGTATAAGGGTAAAGTTAAAGGGGTTGTTGAGGCCTGGAGGTAAACTCGTCGTGTGAATTTGTTCACTTATGATCTCGAGTTATCTCAATAGTACGAGCAGTGGAGAATCGGTTGAGTAAATGACAACATCCCGATAGTGAATCCTAAAAATATTCAGCCGGTGGAAGAACAGTTGAGAGTGGTGCCATCTCCATTAGAGTTAGCTAAGCGCGATTTCGAAGCAGAACGGAGACAATGGAGAATGACTTTATAGAAGTTAGAAGATTAAGTGTATCAAAAGGGATTGGAGATTGACATTCAGAAGAGTAGAGCAGATCGAATTGAAAAAGTAGATAAGCAACTTCGGCTAGACTTTGACGATCTTCGATCAACTTATCAGCGAATGGTAAAAGCTCAGATAGGTTCTAGCTCGAGTAAGTCATCTGTCGAATAGAGGCAAGAAGTGGTGAGCCTCAAAAGAGTAGCCGGAGAGAATCAAGAAAAGCTCAAGCAAAGCAGACACCAAGTTAAGATTTTATCGAAGGAAAAGGATTCTTTAGAGCAGAGGTTACAAGAGAGTCAAGCCCAGAATGAGAAGTTGAAGGAGAAGGTTTCAAGTTTAGAGACTGTATTACGATAATATCGAAATAGGGAAGGTAGCTCAAGCAGTGGGGAAGTTGAGAAAATGAAAAAGCGAGTGAGTGAGCTTGAAGCCATGGTTCAAGATTTTCATAGGAGAGCAATTGAGCTATCGATAGTTCCTTATGAGGGGGATATACAGTGGCGTTTTCAATGAGAGCAAGCTCAGGCGAGAGTTAAGTAAAGAGATGACCTTATTGCTTGTTACTTAGGACACGCGCGGAGAATAGCTCAATATTTGGTCATTCTATCTGAGGAAGATGCTGATGTGACTTAAGAACTGGATCCCAAGGCTGAAGAAAACCAGAAGATTGTGGAGCTGTTAGCACATGTACAACAAATATGAGAGATGGTGCAGATTTATTTGTGATATGTTCCAACTTTGTAATTGAACGTCGTTCTAATATAAAGAGTTGTTCTAAGGAGTCGTTCCAGGATCAACACCCTGCATTTTGCATATACATTTTTAATGCATTTAAATTTTTGCATCTCATTTTATTCATTCATAATCATATATTTCAATATTCATTAATAAACATCAACATTAATAAAAAGACTGTATGACAGAGTAATACTGGGAACTTCCAAGTATCCCTATAATACCCGAAAGAAGGTCATGGATGATAAAATTGCTCAACTTGAGAAAACTCAACTGGAGTTATAAGAGAATATGAAGAAAATGCAAGAAGATATGATGAATTGCCCAGAAGGAGATGTTTTTCAAGTTTGCGAGTCTGTTGGAAGGAAGAAATCCGGAACATGGGAAAAGCCCTGTGCCAGGAGCTGTAACTGAGGACCCACTTTATCCTCCAGGGTTCACCCTAGAACAATCTCAGAACGTTCAAGTGACCCCTGTTCATGTCGAAAAGGTACACATTAATCCAGTCGGTGCTTCTGTTAACGTACAGCCTAGATCTGGTTCGTATCAGGAAGAACATCAATATCATCAAGTTTCGGACCTTGATGAAGAAGACAAGAAGGACCAAAACAATCCGCTGGAAGAGAAATGGAAACAGTTAGAAAGAGAAGTCAGAGCCATGAAGGAAGATACTAGTGTCTATGGATTTGACGCGAAGGAATTAAGTCTAGTTCCTGATTTGGTTTTGCCTCCAAAGTTCAAGGTTCCTGACTTTGAGAAGTTTGATGGTACCAGGTGTCCCTCTGCGTATATCATGATGTTCTGTAGGAAGATAACCGAATACATAGGGGATGATCAATTGTTGATACACTTCTTTCAGGAAAGCTTAACTGGTTCGGCAATCCGGTGGTATAACCAGCTGAGTAGAACTAATATTAAATTGTGGAAACACTTGGCTAAGTCCTTTCTTGAGCAATACAAACATGTAAAAGATGTTAGGCCCAACAGGATAATGTTGCAAGGAATGGAAAAGAAGTCTAACGAGAGTTTTAGACAATATGCTCAAAGATGGAGAGATGTAGCGGTGTAAGTCCATCCACCATTGGAAGAGGATGAAACAAATATGCTTTTTGTCAATACCTTAAGGGCTCCTTTTTTCTCGCATATTATCGGCAATCCTTATCGAAGTTTTACTGATGTAGTCACGGTGGGAGAAATGATTGAAATGGCAGTTAAGAGTAGAAAGCTCGAGGGAGGAGAGTCTAGTAAGAGGCCACCAATGAGGAAAAAGGAAAACGAAGTCAGTAATATGAGGCAGTACGATTCTAATAACATCACTGTTTCCTGTCCTCAAGGAGCAGGGTCATCAACACAAAATGACAATAGACAAGGGGCAAGGGACCAGAGGAGAGAGAGGCCTCAATTTGATCCAATTCCGATGACTTATAAGGAATTGTTTCGGATTTTGTATGATCGGCATGTAGTTTCACCGTATCACGTGACACCAATGCAACTTCCTTTTCCCAAATGGTATGATGCTAGTGCTCAGTGTGAGTACCATGCGGGGAATCCCGGGCATTCCATTGAGAATTGTACTGCATTTAAGAAGGTTGTCCAAGCTTTGAGAACGAGGAATGTCATCAACTTTGGTGACAGTAAACAGCCGAATATAGCTTAGAATCTGTTGCCAAGCCATGCAGGGGCAGGAGTTAACGCGATTACTGAAGAGAGAAGAAAGAGAATTGTAATGAAGGTTAGTGATGTGGTATCACACATGAGTTGGGTGTGGTGCCAGATGGTTAAGGTATGATTGTTGAAGCCCAGTTTGATGGGTGAACAGTTTAACAATTGATAGGAATGCCAGTATCATAACAATGAAGGACACAGTATTCAGCAATGTCCTGACTTCCTATCTTTGGTACAAGACATGATGGACAGTAAATAAATTGAGTTCTTTAAAGAGATTGCTGAAAAAGAGGAAGCGAAAGTTTGTGCTTCAGAAGGATCGTCTAAAGGGGTATACAATTCTAGTTGTCCCCTAATCATTACTCCCAAGAATCGATTGCCTGAAAAGGTAGCTCCGAAAGTGGTTATTACACCTCCATCTCCATTCCCATATCGGGATAATAAACAAGTGCCTTGGAGATATGATTGCCATATGGGAGATGTAACAAAAGAGAATGAGGAAGTAGATGAGGTGGGACACTTTACCAGAAGTGGTAGGTGTTATTCTCTTAATCCACCTAAAGAGTCTGAGAAGAAGGTTACGGTTGATAAGGGGAAAAAGGTTGATATTCAGATAAAAGAAGATGAGCATGTTATCAATGAATCAGTAACCGAGAGTGAAGCGGTAGAATTTTTGAAGTTTCTGAAGCACAGTGAGTACAGTGTTGTTGAACAATTACATAGGTTGCCTGCCCGTATTTCTGTTTTATCATTACTTTTGAGTTCAGAGGCCCATAGGAATGCTCTGTTAAAGGTTTTGAACCAGACTTTTATTCTGAAAGAGTTGCCCATTGAAAAGTTGGACCGGTTAATTTCCAATATACAAGCTGATAATTTTTTATCTTTTTCTGATGATGAGATCCCTTCTGGGATGATTGGTAGTCAGAAGGCTTTACATATCACAATTAAGTGTAAAGGGCATGTGTTGTCCCGGGTTTTGGTTGATAATGGTTCGGCTTTGAATGTGATGCCCTTAGTGACTCTGAAGAAGCTTCCATTAGATAATACGCTTATGAGAACCTGCCAAAGTGTGGTTCGAGCTTTCGATGGGACTAAAAAAGAAGTGTTGGGCAAGATTGATGTTCCTCTAACTATTGGTCCAGCAACTTATGAAGTTGAATTTCTCGTAATGGACATTATGCCTACGTACAACTATTTGTTAGGATGGCCTTGGATTCATCAGGCTGGTGTAGTTCCGTCCACATTGCACCAAAGACTAAAATTTGTAATTGATGGAAGGTTGGTATGTATTCATGCTGAAGAGTACATTATTGCTTCTGTTTCTAGTATTGCTCCGTATATTGAAGTGGATGAGCAAGCGGTCGAGTGTTCTTTCAGATCATTGGAGTTTGTCAATGCTACGTTTGTGGCTGAAGGCATGAAGATACCAAAGCCTATATTATCAAATTGTACCAAGATGGGGCTTAATTTGACTCTTGGAAGAGGAGCGAAAGTTGGAAAGGGGTTAGGAAGTCAGTTACAAGGACCGGTGAATCTAATATGCCCTATTACTAAAAGAGATTGATTTGGTTTGGGGTATCAGCCAACTTCAAGGGATAAGCTGAGGGGAATTAAGAAGGGTCAGGAAATGAGAAAGGCCAGGTTGGCTGGTGAAGACCTTAGCTAGGAACCCATGACCTTCCCGCCATTGAGCAACATTTTCATATCTGGAGGGCATATGTTTCAAGGGAATTCAAAGAGTAATGAGATGATGGTTGAGAATGCCTTAGGATATTTAGGCATTAATGTTATAACTGATGATGAGTTTGAGGAAATGAGAGCTATGGGCATTTATCCTGCACCGCCGGGCTTCGTGTTGAACAATTGGACCGCGAAAGAACTACCTGTAGTTTACAAATCTATTACAGAGTAATGCACTGGAACTTTCTCCCTGTTGTTCATACCCTGGGGAAATAGGTGATTTTATGTAAAGGGTTAAGATGTTTGTTTTTTCTTGCTTTCAATAAAAGATGCATTATGTTAGTTCAAAATGGCAAACATTCTCCCATGCATTTGTTTCATTCATTCATTCTTTGTTGTATATGTATATATTTATTTCTTTCTATTTATTTATATGGGAAAAGATCCTCCCATATGTATATATGTATATATATCTTCTCTTTCATTTTTCTTTCAGGAACTCAAATATCAATAATATGAATGCTAATGACTCTGACCCGGAGATTGATTTCGAGAAGCCCATATGTCAAGGGGAGATAGAAGATTCTGATGATGATGACGGATGTGAACTACCTTCTGAATTGTTGAAAATGGTGGAGAATGAAGATAAACAGATTATGCCTCATAAAGAGTCTACTGAGATTTTGAATTTGGGGATAGATGAGAATAAGAGAGAAGTAAAGATTGGTACCACTCTGTCAGTTGGAGGTCGACAAGATTTGATAGAATTGCTTCAAGAATACAAGGATGTGTTTGCTTGGTCATACGAAGATATGCTATGTTTAGATAAAGAGTTGGTTGTCCACAAACTGCCAATAAAGCCTGAGTATAAGCCGGTACAACAAAAACTGAGAAGAATGAGACCTGAGATGCTGCTCAAGATTAAAGAAGAAGTGAAGAAACAATTTGATGTTGGGTTTCTTAAAGTGGCTAAATATCCTGAGTGGGTGGAGAATATCGTCCAACTACCAAAGAAGGATAGGAAAGTTCGAATGTGCGTCGACTACAGGGATCTCAACCGAGCTAGTCCAAAAGATAATTCTCCTTTGCCACATATAGACACTCTAGTGGATAATACTGCTGGAAATTCTTTGTTCTCTTTTATGGATGGTTTCTCTGGCTATAATCAAATTAAGATGAACCCTGAAGATATGGAAAAAATGACGTTCGTTACCATGTGGGGAACGTTTTGTTATAAAGTAATGCCGTTTGGATTGAAGAACGCAGGGGCAACATATCAAATGGCCATGGTGACGTTATTTCACGATATGATGCATAAATAAATAGAAGTTTATGTCGATGATATGATTGTCAAAGCTAAGACAGTGGAAGAACATATTGGGAATTTAAGAAAACTCTTTAAAAGACTAAGAAGATGCCAGTTAAAACTCAACCCAAATAAATGTACTTTTGGGGTGACATCTGGGAAGTTATTGGGATTCGTAGTAAGCCAAAAAGGAATTGAAATAGACCCAGATAAAGTAAAAGCTATTCAAGACTTGCCAGCCCCATGAACACAGAAAGAAGTCAGAGGATTTTTGGGGAGATTGAATTATATAGCTCAGTTTATTTCATAGTTGACTGAAAAGTGCGATCCCATATTTCACCTTCTTCGCAGGAATAACTCAGGGGAATGGAGTAAGGACTGTCAAAAAGCTTTTGAAGCAGTGAAAAGATATTTGTCGGGTATTCCAATCTTAGCGCCACCCATCTCAGGCAAACCCTTGATTCTTTATTTGTCAGTTTATGAAAATTCAATGGGGTGTGTGCTGGGGCAACATGACCAAACTGAGAAGAAAGAAAGGGCTATCTATTATCTCAGTAAGAAGTTCACTGAATGTGAGACAAGATACTCACCCATTGAAAAGTTGTGTTGCGCTTTAGTATGGGCTACCCAAAGGCTTAGGCAATATGCGTTGTATCATACTACTTGGCTTATATCCAAGCTTGATCCCTTAAAATATCTAATGGGTGTACCTGCGTTATCTGGAAGATTAGCTCGTTGGCAGATCCTATTATTTGAATTTGACATCCAGTATGTAAACCAGACGATAATTAAAGGAAGTGCTATAGCGGAATTCATTGCAAGCAGAGCTTCGGAAGAATATGAGCCGTTGAGATTTGATTTCCCATATGAGGATTTAATGTCTATTTTGGTGGAAGAAGCAGTTACGTCCACTAGTAAATATTGGAAGTTGAACTTCGATGGTGCTTCAAATGCCATGGGACATGGAATTGGGGCAATTTTGGTCTCACCAGAGGGAGAGTATTATCCTTTCACCAGTCGGCTTAATTTTGATTGTACAAACAATATGGCCGAGTATGAAGCTTGTGTTCTGGGTCTTAGAGCTGCTGTTGAACGCAAAGTAAAAATGCTCAAGGTGTATGGGGATTCAGCTTTGGCAATTTACCAACTCAGAGGAGAATGGGAGATAAAAAATCCTAAGCTTATAGAATACCGTAAGTTGGTTATGGAACTTGTTGAAGAATTTGAAGAAGTAACTTTCAATTATCTCCCCAGAAGAAGAGAATCAAATGGCAGATGCCTTGGCCACACTGGCAGCAGCATTTAAGATGAACGAGAATTTAAATATGATGCCCATTGAAATGAAAGCTTATGAGTATCCAGCCCATTGTTTTAATATTGAAGATGATGAAGATGGAAACCCCTGGTATTATGATATCTTGCAATATATAAGGTATCAGAGCTATCCAGAACATGCCATTTAGAATTATAAGAGAACCATTAGAAGAATGGCATCAGGGTATGTACTTGATGGTGAGACTATGTATAAGAAAAGTCTAGATCAGGTCCTGTTAAGGTGTGTGGACACGAAAGAAGCCAAATTGATTCTTGAAGAAGTGCATGAGGGAATATGTGGTACCCATGTTAATGGGCATGCTATGGCTAGGCAAATTATGAGATTTGGGTATTATTGGTCAACTATGGAAACAGACTGTATTAATTATGCCCGAAAATGTCACAAATGTCAGATTTATGGAGATAAGATACATACTCCTCCTCATCCGTTGCATGTAATGACAGCGCCGTGGTCATTCTCAATGTGGGGTATGGATGTTATTGGAAAAATTTCGTCCAAAGCTTCAAATGGTCATCGCTTCATTCTGGTAGCCATAGATTACTTCACCAAGTAGGTAGAAGCAGCTTCTTATGCAAATGTTACCCAATCTACAATATGCAAATTCTTAAAAAATGAGATCATTTGTAGATATGGTTTGCCAGAGAGGATTATCTCTGATAATGCGTTGAATTTAAACAATAAGATGATGGATTCGGTCTGTAAGCAGTTTAAAATAAAGCATCATAATTCCACCACTTATCGCCCAATGATGAATGGGGCAGTAGAGGCGGCTAATAAGAACATCAAAAGGCTCATAGAGAAGATGACTGAGACCTATAAGGATTGGCATGATAAGTTGCCATTTGCTCTGTTTGCCTATCGAACTGCAATACGGACGTCAACTGGGGCAACTCCATTTTTCTCTGGTATATGGGATGGAAGTTGTCTTACCTATTGAGGTGGAAATTCTCTCACTTCGGATTTTGTCAGAGGTGAAGCTCAATAAAGCAGAATGGGTACAGGCTAGGTATGACCAATTGAATCTGATTGAGGAAAAGAGATTGAAAGCTATTTGTCATGGTCAGATGTACCAAAAACGTATGATACGAGCACATGGTAAGAAAGTTCGCCTTCGAGAATTCCATGAGGGAGATTTGGTGCTTAAAAGGATTCTACCTGTTCAGAAGGATTTCCGAGGAAAATGGATGCCTAATTGGGAAGGACTGTATGTTGTCAAGAAAACCTTTTCTGGGGGAGCTCTAGTCTTAACTGAAATGGACGGATCGGAATTACCCTATCCAATGAATTCTGGCGTTGTTAAGAGATATTTCGCCTGAAAATAAAAAATGAAAAAATGAAAAAATGAAAAGAAAAATGAGAAAAAATGAAAAATGATGAAAAAATGAAAAGGAAAAAATAATAATAATAATGAAAAAAGAAGAAAGAAGAAAGAGAAAAATGAAAAAGAAAAAAAAATGAAAAAATAAATAAAAGGAGGGTTCAAGATGAAAATCCGAAAAGGGTGTCTTGAAACCAAAGGAGGTCTCAAGTTGTAAACCCGCAAAGGGCGACTTGAGTTTTGTTTAAATTCAGAATTCGTGAATGGTGGAGGTTCTGAATTGATTTTGGAAGTGGAAAGAGCTCCTGATATGGATAGTAACAATGACAGTTGGTGATCAGGGTTGAGACTAAAGATTAATGAGTCTCGATTGAAACAACCAAGAGAGAAATTGAATGCACATGAGATTCAATATTGGTTTAGGGAATCCAATGAAGAAGATTTGGGAGTTTAGAAGTAGCTTCACACTCTTAAGCATCATCACAATTTTGGAGATCCTTTCGACAGAAGCTACACTCGAGTCAGTCTAACGGCGTGCCAATTCAAAAGTATTTGCATTATTGATATTTGAAGATGCCTACTCTTTTGTTCTTTTACTGTTTCCAGTTAAAAGCTTGTCATGTAGTTACCTAAAAATTCTCTGCATTATATAAAAAAAAAGATTTTTCTTGTTAATTTCCCTTTTACAGGCATCTTATCTTGAAAGGTTAAAACATATAGCTTAACTTGAAGTACATGAGATCATTTTGTATTATTGTGCAAAAGGTTTTGGAAAATGCAGGTATTCTGAAGTTGATGATGGTTTTAACATGTAAGCTTGTGTGGTTATGGGAAACTAAAATCTTGGAATTCATAGAAAATCTCAGCCATGATAAGAAGACCCAAAGAGATTGTCATTGATCAAGGAGTTGGTCATGGGTACTAGCGGGTTTCAAGAAAGAAATAAGTCAAGGTACTGTTAAACCGAGAGATATGGAATTGAGATTGTTAACTGGGGTGAACTGGTCAAATCTTCTGTACCAAAGATGAAACCGAGTTCCATCGGGATCAAAAGAGATGGTGCTCCTTCGAAGAAGAAGAAAACGCATTAAATTGCATAACTACATACATTTTAGACATGAATAGGATCATGGCATTCATAATTGCATGATGGCTTAAATATCTACAGGTTCTCAATGATAGTTGAAGATTGAAGATATGAAAGCATCAAGATGAGGATAACTAGTTTTGAAATCTTGAAAAAAATGATGTTTAGACTACAACTGAGCCAAAGTAGATTCACATATCCAATGGCTTCCAGATAAGTTTTCACGATGGAGATGGATTCTCAGAAAGTTTCTCAAATTCTAAAATTTTTAGTATAATATTTTTCAAAAATACATTAATGATTGGTAATGTTTGATTTTCAGGTTTGACATTCGAAACAAGTTAATCTTAATCCTTCACGAAAGAGCAGTGAAGCAATTTAAACTTAAGCCTTCATAGAAGAGTAGTGAAGAAATTCAAACTTAAG